CGGGAATATTCACGGTAATGTATTCAGCAGGCAAGTATACACATCATACCAGTTCAGAATTGTAAGTGTGCATTTGATTAAAAAATAATACGAAAATACTGCTGTGCACAGGTTATTACACGCATCAACTGACCTAGCAACGGGATCAATCAAACTGGCTTGATAGCGAAGTTCGGTTGCTGTATCACTAAGGGACACTGATTTGAGGTTCTCCGATCAATCATCCTTATCCGGTTTACCCCATTGTTGTTGTGCAACACTGCATTGCATTGTGGGGGATGAAATTTACTCTCGCAGTCTCCAATGCTTTCCCTTTTGCTACTATGCCTTTGGTCACACTTTCTTAGCGCTGGTAGCCATTCTGATATCCGCAGGATGTGCTCACTTCTCACCTGCTTGCCTTTCCTTCAACTCCACTTTGGCTTTCACGATGGCCTATTGATGATTGAGTGGGCGTCAACCTCTTGCGTTTGCTTACATGCAGCCTGTAAGCACCATTGTTTTCCTGTTCGCCTGTGCTTAGTCAACGTCGGACAGAACAGCCACACTTTTTGATGCTGTGTTTGCGTGACCGTCGCTCGGCAACGAATGGTCTCTCTCGCCTATGTTGTGTATGAATTAACTGAAGCCAAGAATGCATTCATCGTCACGTTTGTATTGTCCACTTCCACTATTAGTTAGTTCATGACCAGTCGACCATTGCTTTCGTTCTCACTGTACACTTCGCATCAAAGTAGACTGGGGTTGTTGTTGTTCTAACGCAGCTGAAAACAAACGCTTTCAATGTGCTGCTTTTGATTCTTATTCTTTTTGCAGGGTGCATCTTCCACTGAACCAACGTCCTTTCTGTGGTAGCCATTTCCACACACAACGTGCACCGCACCTCTTCGCGACAATGCACCTATTACTTTCTTCGGCAACTAATCGATCGCTGGCGTTCCGCCGTTGATTTCATCATCTCCTGTCTTGTCTTGCCTTGTTACTGAACAGCATGATATTGTGCCGCAGGTCTTGACGAGCTATTCTTTTATTCAGCTATTTGTAGCTCATCAGGTAAAACTTTCGGGGTTGTTATGTGGAATTCTGACCACACCACTGAATCGCACATTTAGGCCTATGAGCGGAAAAGGATGTGTTTCCTTTCAGGCTACCAGTTATATCCACCTGCTGTTCGGCCCGTGGCCGAAAGGACAATACCCGGACGTCACCCGTTCGAGCATGCGTAGGGAACCGGGCGAATTGTGCAGTGTGCCTAAGCCCACGGGCGACTGTTGGTGGTTGCATGGCAGCGAAGCGTCGGTACGGAGTACTCTTTATGGCTTTTTTAAATGTATCTAGATTCAAATTAACAAGGAGGAACACTTAACAGGACACTTTGAGTTCAGCGTTGTTTGCATACATTCCGTGGAACTAATGTATTGTGTACAGTATTCAAGCTTATTCAGTTTACATTTGGAACTATCCATGGCGTCAACAAGACAAGTGGGGGCTGGTCATAATCTCACTGTACTGGCGCGGCATCGCGTTAGCTTGGTGAGGTCATTGATCATCACAGTTTTAAACTCAATGAATTTGAGCATTGTTCCCGTATGTGCATATCACGATAATTTCGTGGAGTATAGGTAGACAGTTGTTGAGAATGCCCGAGACATCTGAATTCAGATAATCCTATTAAATGTTGTTCCTTCTTACTGCTTTGGAATTTGTGAAGGAAACATTCTGCATGAACTTTTTGTTTTGGTGGCTTTTCTCCCATCGACGTTAGTATACCCAATCTATTCTCTACTTTGTTGTCTAACCAACCCAACTCAAGCGCGAAGTGGGGACGCTTTGGAATTCCATGTCATCGACACCTTATCGAACCGTGCACCCTTGGTGTACGCCCACATACGTCATTTTTGAAGCGTCCCTCAGTATCGAAGTACAGCGGTGTTCGATACGAGGGGGGTTATCGCACATTTCTATACCTGTGGTTCATTTAAGAGTTTTGTCTTTTCTCATTGGCATCTAACATTGTTCTCGAACCTAAGCCACAGTCGCCATCTATCGTGGTTGACGTTCAGCTCCACAAATCTCACTAACGGTCTAACCCGTATGTTAAGCAGCGTTTACGGTTTCACATAACTACTGTACTACCCAGAGTGTGGATTACTGTATCTGGGCATGGTTATCTGATTTTATGTCATTCGATCTGTCGCGAGTAAATTCCACATGATTTTAATCTCCAGATTGAAGGGATATACACCAGTGTCAGTTCAGCGTGCAACCACATTCCTGTCCTCAGTGTTCGCATTGGTCGCTGATTTTCTCGGTGGTCGGATACTCGACCCACAGTGGTCATCAAATTCTACTCCGTTCAGCTTCCAAAATCTTGCTGCATCACGCCGAGGTGGTTGCGGCAAACGGGGTTTACCTATCTCTGTTTAATGGCGTTAAAGAGTACTGATGCCGTACGTCATGGCTGATTTCACCTGTGTTTGAACTATTAGATAAGAATCTTATTCGAAGATGTCATCCTCATCATCATAACAGCAGTACATCAGCCATTTGATCTGATGCTTCGGTACCATGGTTGGCGGCATCCGGTTTCGGATTTGCCTGTCACTGTGGCCAGCCGCAGGACGGCTGCGCCTACAAAGGAACCATGCGTGGCTTGCGCTGCACCACCCACAGCTCCGACCACACACCCCATATCCAATGTAAACCCGAAGGAATAAGACCGGGAGGCATGCGGATGGGAACCACGTTTTATCAACGGAGCCGGCCCACACTCCTTCACAGGCAAACACAAACACGCTGTACTTGGGGAATCAGTCGCACACAAGGCGGTGGTTGGACCGTAGTCCGCTCTACACTGAGTGCATGGAACCGCTCTTTGAGCCTAGCACGGCCACAAGGACCGTGCACCCCGTCCCCTCCAGCAACGACCAACTGTCTCCTGGAGCCAGTATGAACGAGGTAGTGGGTAATGGACAGGTAGGCACCTTGTCAACATGCACACCAAGCGTAGCCACACCGGAGATATCAAGCAACAGCCATTCACTTCAAACGACAAGCTGAAATAAAATAAATCCAACAATGCATACAAATGCGGTGGTATAACTCTTCCCTAAATTACCATATGAAATAAGTTGGTTAGCAATGAATCCGCGATAAGTAAGAAATGTCCACAAGTTACTTAAAAATGCTACAAACGCAACAAAATTAGGAAGATAAGCGCAACTAGCTTAAGCCACGTGGCCAGTTAATAGAACATTCTTCAGGTAGGAAGAACAAACCAAATAAAGTATAATGAAATTTAATCAGCTTAAAAAGACCTAGTTTAAGTGTAAGTTGGTTTAGCCCAACTGCGGTGAAGAAGCGTCAACAATGCAACATCAGCCTCAGCATGGGGCACAACCATAATAACCCACAGAAGCAAGAATATTAAGCGAGAGAGAAGGGTACCTTATCGGAAAACCTTAATACCCTAAGCAAACATTCAGGGTCAAGACGCCTACATCTTGTCAACTACATACTGTCACAAGCAGCTGAATAAAGTGCAAAGATGAGGTGGTATCGGCGAGATTTTGTGGTCTCTGTCGTTGTGCTATCCTGTTGACATGCAGCACTTAGCTCGCTAGTTAGAAGCTCATTTTCTCCAAATGGCGGGAGGTGTGTGTTGTTCACTTTTCCACCACCTTTGGTATTTGGACGACGGTTCTATCCCTCACATTGTTTTTCCGTATCTGTGCTCACGCTTTGCTGGACACACAAGGTTGCTGACCTTTGTTAATGGCAATGATGAGACGATACAAATCACATACACTTGTTATCCTTCGTTTTCCTCAGTGCATTGTTAAACTTACCGAACAGATCTTTGTGTTGTTCAATTCGCTTAGAATTATTACAGCACCAGCAGTTTACATATGTCTATATGTTTCTCAACTGTGTGGACTACGATCCAACTATGTGCTCTGATCATTTGTTACAACAGGATCTCAAAGGGTAGATTTTACTTCAAATTATCCAGAGCAGTTCCAAAATAGGTTTTAGGGAAGTTCGACCGGTAAAAATGTTGAAAAGTAGAAGAGTTTGAAAGTGTGGTGAAAGTGGTTATTGAAAAAAGTTCAAGTAAAACAATACGGCTATCTGTGGAACCGTCTCCTGGGGACCTGCTTGCATGCGAGGTACTCTCTCGAGAGGTTTCATCCGCATTTCCACACCCCATTTGGCTTTGTGCCGGCATGACATATTAGCAGGTGTGCTACCACCGTATAAGCTCACCTTCAGAGCCGTCGTTATGTATAGTGAGGAATAGACTCTCAGAGATTATCAAGCTCTATGTTTTTCATTTTCATACACTTTTAAGCCATTCAAACCATTTCCACTTCTGGCACTTTTGAATGTGGCACTTTTTTACCCGCCTAGTCTGTGACAATTTGCCTTGAGTGAGCATATTTTTTCTCGCCAATAGGTATGTGACAATTCGCCACACGTGGGTGTATTAATTAATCCGGAAGCTTCATTCCGTCATCTCAGCAGATCGGTGCAATCGTGGCCAACAATGGGAAAGAGAAGTCTAGAATGTGATGAAATTAAAATATTCCTAAATGAGGGGTATATATCCGACGGATTCTGCTTCAGGTTGCACATAAGGATTAAGTAGAAAAACAAAAATTAAAACACCAGCACTCTGAAAGATTTTGAGGTAGATGCAATGACTCCAGGAGATTGAGTTGTAGAGCAATTGATTTGGAAAAATCAACTTCGCATGGCACCAAGAACTGCCATGGGCAGTCGAGTTGCTTTCTCCAAGAGAAAATAGAACACTTGGCAATCCGCATAACAGTTCATTTAGTCCCAGTTAATCCAGCTACTATCGAATACCTCCGTCTTGTCATCTGTGCATGAAATTTAGTGAACTCATGTAGGCTAATGGTTCTACGCTTTTTGCAGGAGACGATACGGAAACCAATTGTTTTTTTTTACATGTGTTCTCGATCCATTTACTCCTTCAGCTTGGCTTATCTTGGATCGTGTTCCGATCTGACCCTGAGTGTATTGGCCGATTCGGAATTGCGCCATCAAACTGCGGATGCAGGCAATGTGTCGTCCATGCACTATCCGCCCAACTCCAGCGTCCGAATACCTCATTCCGTTTCCCTTCTGGGTCTCTCCACGCACACGGTTGATTCCCCTTTGTGTAGGAAGCCCAAAACGTCCGTTAATCGCAACAACATTGGGCATTGGATCACTCCTTGTTGGTCCTTGAGCTCCCACCGTTCTGGTGGTGCATATTCGAACAGCAGTGAGGACAGCATGGGGAAGCAGCAGCGGGGGAAACGTCGCTCGTTAGCACTCATTCCCGCGGATGATCGGGTCGACGTTGGTGGGGCTCCTCAGTCAGCTCCAGTGGATGTACAATCCAGCCATGATCGGAATATCACTCCAGCGCGGATGGAAGGCGATGTTCATCCTATGGGCTCTACGAAATCCTCCGGCCTTTGCAACGGTGGCGATTCCGAATTCGTGCTGCAGTCTCGAGATGAACATCGTTTACACGAATGTGGGTATCAAGTGCCGTGCGATGAAGACGAAAGTGACGAGGATTTTCAGTTGCCCAACAAAGAACAATCCGAAAAAATGGACATCATGGAGCTGTTGAAGCGAGAAGCATGTCGATACGACCGTCCCGGATTGGCTCAGAAGGTATGTTTTGACAAACGTTTCGTTGTTCATCACTGCTTATCAGTTGGCTGCGGAGTTGGCGATAGCACATATTCACCAGAGACATTGGACCAAACACGACTAATCCAGCATTTTCCCTACATTTAGTTCAAGCTCTTGTGGTTGCTTCTAGATGAGTTCAATAGTTTTCCCTCCTTGACGAGATCGCACACCTACACGGCATAAACCCCTAACTAGCCGAAAATTAATTTATGTCGAAATTCGTGGAAATCATAAAAGTTTTTGCATTAACAACTCTTCGCAACTCGACCGTCACACAGCTCCAACTTTCTGCTCGCTCTGACTACGTCTGCTGCAGCTGTGTTCTCAGTGGACCCCACTCGTCTACCTGTAATGTGTACGTACTGATTGAGTTTTCCATCTGCAGACGCTGACCATGCAGTTGAACGGTGAAATCTTTGCTTATGTCGCGATATGGCATCATGTTTACACTACTGTGTATTGGTTTTTGGTCCCGAGTATAATGTACTTATCCGCACCTCTCACCATCCCATTTTTGTTTTAACGGTTTTTAGGCACCAAAACGTGCATGTCAGTACGCAGCTTTCTTGAATAGAATTGGTGCACTGCTCCAACCCGCGATATAGGGCTAACACAATGCCTTTACAATACACCTTTGTGAGCTGCTTTGTTAGCGTCCCCACTGCGTGTACCATACCATAGTTGTACTTTTTCGGATTCAATTTAGTAGCCTTTCGCTCCTATTGCGGACCCTATATAATCTCATTTATCCTTGTCATTAACCTTGCATTTAGCCGTTGATAAGGGTAGCGGTTCCGTAGAGCACCTGATCTTACCGTCATTATCTGCGTAGCGCAGTTCCTACCGATCATATTCATACACGCTGTGCCGTCTCACATATCAAATCTCTATCTGTCATGTACCATTGCACTGGCCGCCATCCGTTTTTGTGATGCGTTCACACACACACCACACGAGGCGGCAAGTAACAGTGTTCCGTGAATCATTTTGAAGAAGATCTTGTTTCAGAGTCATCTGCTATTGAAGAAGAAAAGCATCAGCATTACACCAGTATACGGTACCGGCGCTTTGCTGCCGGACAATCACCATCAGTTGCGCGTAGGCTAAGGAGACTGTGAGGGTCACCCGGTCTCCTACGCATGCCCGTACCCGTGACCTCAGAGTACAAGGCATTCTTGTGCTCCATAAGGTCGTAACCCACCCATTGGACGTCATAAGTTTTGCCGGCAATTTGGTTACCCTTTTTAATTTATGGTAAATGCGCACTTTTACTGCTAATCACCACCGATAGTGCACAACCCACAACCTGCCCAAGCTTTCTTTGATCTCCGAAGGCACCAATAGTCTGTTGCCCTGGTGCCTATTAAGTGAATGGTGTGACCGCTAGGCTACTTGGTTTGGTAAGCGACGCGTTTCTCTTTCTGCTGTTTCTAAGCATCATCTCAGGTTTGCCACACAAGCCGTCTGTTTGAACGCACATGAGTTCGATCGCTTCTTGTTATGCTTACTTGTGAGCCTTTTTATTTTTACTACCCTAGAATGGTCACGTCAACAGCACATACGACAGAAGCACCGAACGGGCCGCATCTTCAGCATCCGTAAGGAAGCTCAGGCGACACGCCGCCAATTCACAGTCCCTGCCATCAACCACCACTCCTGTTCACTCTGCAACACCGCCAAATGGCTTAATTCGCTCACCCAAGCTTTTGAACGTAACTGAGAAGACTCCTGTGAGCATTCAGCGCTCACTGCATGATCTCATCTCCCCAGGTGTGATGAACTTTCTCGAGTTGAAGGAGAGTGTAAAGCGGAAAATTTCTCTGGACTATCAGGGTCACGTTTACAGTGACTTCGCCACAGTGGCCTCGCCGTATCCATACTTTTCCGAACCATCCTCCCACACTTCGGGTGTTCACTTGGTCATATGTGTGCACGGACTTGATGGTACGTCAATGCATTTGATTGCTCTGTCAGGTTGTAAGGTCTCTGTTCCCTCTGGGTCAGTTCAGCATGATTCTCAAAGCGTTTACACATGTGGAAACGATTTCGATACTTTGGCGGTAAACAATACTTGCATGTAGAATGAACGTGTATTGGATGATTTACCCGCATAGTACAACGTCCTCGCCGGTTCTGTGGGTCGCCTTTCACTGTGCACCGAAAAGTGAGCATGTGACGCCCTAGTTTTGCGTCATTACTCAACAATTCTGCGTAGCTCAGTCTTAAACCTTATTTGCACTCAAAGCGGCCTCATGGCGTGCGTCCACCGAGATGTACGGGACTACATCACGTTCACAACTGCTACTCTTTTTGGTGTAAATTAATTGGTGACTACTCAAGTCGATACTCTCGCTTTTTTGCTTTGACTCGGATACGAATGCCCATCCAGCGGCGTTACCTCTTCCGACATCTCGTACGCAGTAAGAACAAACTAATCCATTGAGTGATGACCAGATTTCGCTGATAGGAAAACTATTCGTGTCGATGATTGTTAGGAATCGTTGCTGACAAGGTCACTTCTCGTCATCACTTACACCCAGCGAACCTTAATCTTTTTCCATGTGATGGTGCTACCAGAATGCTAAAATATGTTCCGATTTATCTGGTTAGTTGTTCAGTTATTATGTGGTTTGCCGATTTTGACAATTCAGTCACAAACGTTTCATCACCGGTGCAGATCGCATCATCAGTGTGGAAGAGGTAGCGATTTGGTCCAGAATCTTGTAGCAGTCAAATCCCTCCCTGAATTTCGGTCAAAAAAGTTGGAAGGAAAGTGAGAATGGAGGTGGGCTTAATTAGGCACGAGGATCTCGAGATAAAGTTCATGGTTGGTATTTACGCGCTCTTGAGAACGGTTGTATAGCGAGTAAGTGACAAGCAGTGATGCAGTCAAGAGTGATGTACCGTATCAAGCGTAGCCTTCAGGCGTAAGTGAATGTGCATGGTAGTTTGTTTGAGTGATTAGAAAGACTCGATGAGGAAAGAAAACTAGATGTGCTCATACAATTGGGGCCAAGAATAGAATGGACTGGATCTCATCAGTGGAGAAGACAACTGTTGGTAGGATATCATCGCTCTACTTTCGTTTTTGCATTCTATCGGTTGTATCATTCGCTTTCAGATTGTACATGTGTTTGTGATAACTGCATTGCGTACGAAACACTTTCTATCGATCGGAGCAGATAAACCTAGACACTCTTCAGTGACAGCTCGCCTACCCCCATGTGGGATGTCTTGCAGGTGTTACCCGGGGCCACATACAATCATTAGTTGCATAAGTGTCTGTAAATTTCCCATTTATGACAAACAGCATTATTTACTCTTAGCTAAGTTTAGTTAGGTTACTGACTCGGAAGAGACGAAAACACGACGTTCAGGACTCAGTTGTGCTCGAATCATCCTCTTTTCTCCAATACAGCATTCAAGCAACTCATCACAGTCAGGCCTCAGCGATCACTGTCGCATCTGCACCACATTTCTCTTCCTTACTCAGCCACATTCTAAGCATCGATTTGGTACCTGGATGTGGATGCTTGTGCTCATTAACACGGAACTCACACCACCTTGTCTACTCATATACTGAATCGCCATTATACACACAAGCGGTCTCTTGAATCACATGAGTCCATACCACTAGATTTATGTTTGAAGAATGCGTCTGTTCACAGGGGGGCGTGTATTCAATTTCTTTTGCCCTGAATTACTTACGCCAGTGTAAACTTTGCTTTAGTAATCCACTTGCCACTACCTATATGGTCAAAACGTTGTACAGTATGCGATTGTTCTGTCAGACACACCATCTGTTGTACACACTTCGAGGGTTGTGGAATTTAGCCGTTTTGAACTAGAGGTATATCAACGCCACGAATCATCACCCACAATTACATATCACCCGCTTGCATATTGTCCAGTGGCTGGAAGTAACAGCGTGGCAGGAAACCCTTGTTCACGGAACCATTGTATGCGTGCGCTCTTGTCACTCTATCTTCGAATTCAGCCTGAATGAGTGACTGAAACCCCGATCCACCTACGGGATGCCTGTTGATATAAAAGTTCTAGCCAGACGCCTTCCATTCCCTGCATTATGTCGGAATATGTTGATGTAGTGGACATGTAATAACTGTTTTGCTTTGGATCATTTTGCTCCGCCTTCCACTTACAATGATTCATACTCCCTCAGGCTACTGTAGCTACAACTGATTGCGAGTGACTCCACCTTTTCCACTGTGACTCCCCAGGCCTCCTCACCCATGACGGATTCATTGGCGCTTCTGTGTCACCACCATTCATTGAGTCGCCCCTGTAGTTGTGTCTCAGCTCACTCAGGCTATCGGGGCCTAAGCGTGGGAAGGCATGTTTGCTACAAACCGGTGTCCGGATCACGGAAGGTACAATTCTCTCATGTCGACGCAACTACGTGGCACACTTCCTCATCACCGGGTCATATGCAACCGACTGCACACCAGAGGCGGTCGGTTAGTGTGGTGAGAACTGAAACTTAAGTTGATTCCTCACATACTGCTTAACTGTGCCTGAAAGCTATGACACTTAGTCAATCCGGCTACCGGGTCCATAACAAACGGCACCCATCAAAAAGTTGAGTGCGTGTGCACCTCACAGAAGCAGACGTAGACTTGGGCTACGCGTATGTACTTTAGCTGTTTGCGTTTCTGAGGATTCGGCCAGAGGCTACTTGGTCCAACTTTACTGTTGCTCGAAGCCCACGTGATTGCGACCGGCAATGCGGTTTGCTTTGAAGTATACAGCTTCCCATTCGAAGATTTTGTATACTTGGAACTGTCCTTCATCTCAAGCGGTTCCTTTGATCTGTGCATTGGTGCCGACGTTTGAGTCCAGTGTATGCTCGCCGGGACTGGGTTTCTGAATGATGCTGAGCAGTGCCTGACTATTGCCTCATAAGAATTAGTCGATTCCAACTGTCTCAGCCTGTCAAGTTCAGCTTTACCAGATAAGCTTTGTACCTGTTAACTGAAACGTGTTCGCATCAAACGTCTGAGGCAATATGCGTTGGGTAGCATCCTGAGTGATGTATTAGAGCACATGGCATGGAACAATTTTCCACCAGATCTTACTTTTATCGTTATTCACATGCGGATGTGTGTGTGTGTGTGTGTGACAACTCTTGCGTCGGGACACTGGGGGGGAAGTGAATTACACTCTGCTTCGAAGTACCATGGAAAGAATTAAGTACAATCGGTTAAATGCTCCCCATGCTTTCACGTGCCATTGTACCAATATGTGGTTCGCGAAATATGCGTCCAGAAGCCTCTTGAATTGTGGTGCCTATTTTACCTCAACTCTGCCCCAGCAGAGGATTCAAAACATTTGCCATTCGTCACTCGTAATGCACATGAACATGACGAAGCATCTGGCAAATTTTTCATTTGGCCTTGGGGCTTCTGCAGTAGTTACAGCCGATGATGGTAGCGCATTTCGATTTACTGAAACGCATCCTAAATAGTTGCTGCTTTGTGTAAGCCTTTCTTTGTTCATGTGGTACGTTGCTACGTATGCACGATGCCACAAACACCACGGTACCTTTGTTAGCTGGCCTTCAGCCAGCTGTTGAATGCGCGCTTACTCGCCTTAGTGTCCAAAAGGACTACTAGAAAAACTCAATGGAGTCGCACTGACACAAGTCTTGAATCGTTCGTGTTACTGAACTGGCCTGAGGCAGTTGTTTGTTGTCAGAACCACGGAGCGCTTAATTGCAACCACTTTGATTGAGAACCATGTAAACCTAAAGCGTGTCATGAAACGGTTAGCAACTTATGCTTATCAAATTGATTGCAATGAAACCAATTGTGCTGCAGTTTTGAAGCGTGTTACCTATATCTATCCGTGTACTTCCATAGGTAACAGTAGTTTTGGCCCATGTGCTCGCTGTGGTTCATACGAACATCAGTCAATCAGATGAGCTGCATTGATTGACCACAACGCTTGCTGCCTACACTGATCGCATCAGTCAGGTTATCATCCCATTGGCTGCTTCGTTGATTAGGTCCATTTGTTTATTCTGATAGTATACTCACGTCCCAACGATCATACTCAGTTTCTGTTGAGTGCCACAACCAACTCGCTTGTCCACTTATCGTTATCGAGGGGTCCAAATCGACACCTACCAAGCTGATGTTTGCTACCTCCGGAATCTGAAATCCGCGAGTGGCGTTAACATTTTCTGTATCTTAGCTCTGTTTCCTGTTCTACAGGTAACAATAACGCAATTCTGGCCTATATCGGCACTTATTTCCCCGGTATAAACTGTGGACGAGAGGCAGTGTGGAACCATGTACTGCATCCCATTATTCGTGACGATTGTAGCTGGAACACACAATTTGTTTGGATTTTACTTCGTACTCACATGTGCTTTCGACTGATCATTCACTAGCTGATGCGTATACCTAATTAGTGACGATAACTGCAGCAGAACCAGTTGTGCGCATTTGTGGCGTTTTCCTCCCTGATCGCTTACTGCATTTCCAGACAGCAGTATTGCGCGGTCTGTCTGCATTCGCTAACTCAAACCCTAATCGTAAACTCGGTCATCTTTCGCTTTGCATGCCTAATGTCACGTTGACAGATCGTTAAACGGGATTGCTTTCGTTGAGCTTACTCTACATTTCCGTGAAAGTGACCGGTCTGCCCGCTCGTCTGCATGCGTTCTCCTATTCGACTGTCTTAGGTTATTACAAATACTAAATTCCGTATAAGCACATTACTAGTGCATAAATAACGCATAGGCTTCAACGGGTTAACATTTCGATTACACTCGTTAGCCACAACGTAGTGCATTATGTAACTTATAACCAGTTAACTAGGTTGGTGCTCCAGTAACACAAGGAAACTTAGTGGTGCAGGTGAATATTGCGCAACCGGGACCACGGATATCATCTGTTTTTTCCGTGCATACAAAACGATTCGCCCTTATTGATGGCCAGTATTTTCCGATCCCGCTCACTGATCGGGCGACTTCATCTAGTCGGCTTTGTGACGAGTCATCATGAGATTCTTGGTGATAAACGAGGTGAGTTCCTGTGCATGCTTTAGTTCACTCTATCTTGTTGGCACGTGGACCGCTTTAACCACTAGGAAATGTTCAGCACTCCTTTGAGCTAGTCCATGATCGGTACTGCCCATCTTGGTGTTACCTCATCTCCAGCTGATCTGGTAACTAATAAAAGAATACTGAATACTTAGAATAGAGAGCGAGCGGATAAAAATGTGTGGTGCTCCACCGTAGATAGATCAGGTAGATGCGCGGAATCACCTCGGTGATTCCTGCGCGGTGGCAGCATATTGCAGCTGCACTACATCTTACCCAAGTGCGATACGCTCCCTATACCTGTAGTCCGCAAAGTGGGCGTCAAGGAATCTCTTAAATTCCGACACCGATTTCGTCTTGACTAGTGTCTCCGGCAATTTGTTCCAATATTTCACCACTTGGCGCTCGACGCATAGAGGGTGAGCGATGTGCTTTAAAGCCGGCACCACTAGTTTGTACCGGTGTTCACGTGTCCTGCTTGGTGCGCGAATCTGCAGCAGCGGCTTCAACATAGGAAAGTGGCCCAGGTACACTATCCGGTGCGTCATAATGGGATCAACTCGAAGCCGACAATATGACAAGGTGTAAAGCCCTATTCTCCTACATCGGTCCTCGTACGACATACCCCGTAAAGTTGGGATGAGCCGGATAGCTACATGCTGGACCCGTTCTAGTCTCTGCACCTCATCTATTGTAATCGGACAGGCGGGTGAGCTGTTCTCAAGTACCTGTCTTGTCATCGAAGAGAACAGACGGGTGGCAATCTCTTCAGGCCAAGTGCAGAAGCTGCGTTTAAGTACGCAAAGCAGGGGTAGTCCGTTTGCGTACAGTCTGTTTCTGTTGTCGACAGACTTCAGATGACAGTGTGCGAGTACGCCCAGATCCTTTACGGTACTGGTGGGATGCAGCCGGTGAACGGCCAGGATGTACGTTAGGTGGTCATCACCTAAATCCGCTATCTTCTCCCAATAAGGAAGTCACTGATCCACTGGTGCAGTACGACACCAACACGACACATCCTCAGCTTGTGGAGCAAGACCCCATGGTTCATTTTATCGAAGCTTTCCTGAAATCACAGTAGATAACATCCACTGACTTTCCCCGATTCAACACTTGCAACCATTCCTGTTGCGTCAACAGCAGGTTGGTGCTGCATGAGCGTCCCTTCTTGAAGCCGTGCTGTGCTGGCTTTGGGAGATCCTTCGGCTCTAGCAGCTGGAGTAGACCCTTTTTCACAATTTTCTCTAGCACCTTCGCCAAAGCAGAGGTGAGACAAATTGGTCGGTAATTTTCCACATTGCGTGGGTCACCACCTTTTGGAATCGGCTTCACTACTGAAGATTTCCAGTCACTCGGCAATGCACCCTCGGACGGCGATCTGTTGAACAGACCTGTCACAGCAGGCAAGATGATGGCTGATAAGGATTTTGAAATTATCGGGTGAAGTCCATCGGATTCAGCAGTTTTTGTACCCTCAAGACTGGCGAGTAGACTGCGGACATCAACACCACAATCAAGACCCCCGAGTACAGTAGAGGCTGAACACGTCGAGCTCGGCATAGGTGCATGCCCACTTGTATATACGGAAGCGAGGTACTCCGCCAATGCGGACGCACGTTCAGTGCTAGAGGTCAGAGGCTGTCCGTCAATGCCTTCTAACACAGTTATGCCACTTGCGGGCCTCAGGCGCCGCTTTACGTAAGCAAAAATCTTCTTGGGGGCCGTCTTCGCTGAGGTCGCAAACTCCTCTTTGACCTGCCGACGCTTTCGCGCTGTTGTAAAGATTCCACTGCCTTTTGTACGCCTCATAATTGTCGGCAAAGCCAGACACGTGGAATTTATTCCACAATACGCGTCGCCGTCGAGCCAATTGACTATAATCTCTGTCGAACCAATGTGGCTTCAGTGGCCCCGCTTTCTGATACTTGTGGGGTACGAAACGAGCGCAAAACAATTACACACACTCTTATAACAGAGCACAAGGCTTCAACAGATGAATCCTGCGGCAGCGACCAGCCTACTTCATTGGTGGCTCGATCTAGACCATTGAAGCCGCTCTTCCAATAATTGTAGGACGACTCCGTCAGACGCAGGTAGGGCAACGGCAACTCTAGGCTGGCTAACACCATTGAGTGATCATTAGATGCCAGAGGCTCCAGGACGAATTTCATGCACACGTTGCTCGCAACTCGTTAATAGTAGGTCCAGGCACGATGGAGCGGAATGCGTTGTAACTCGCGTCAGTTGGCAGACATGTTGTGCTTCCCCAGTTTCGAATACCATCTCCGCAAACTGCGCCTTGACTTCACAGTGCCCAGGTAGAAGTTGAACCTCAGGCCACCGTATTCCATTGGAGTTAAAATCACCCATAAGCCGTGAAGCGGGGCTGACTAATGTAGTTTTTAGAATGCGGCAACCATCTAGGCATCGATTTCGCGGGCTGCGATTAGCCGCACCCACAAACAGTTCACTCTGTCTCGGGCGGATCGAGCACCATAGCTGTTCGCACAAGCCATTTTCGCTGTGGTAGATATGTAGCCGCCTACCGCACAGCGAGGACGGAATGAATAACAGCACGGCGCCTCGATCGTTTGATAGTCTGCCGCACCGGAAGCACGAGAATCCACAGATCTGAACTTCCTGGGTACTGACCTCAGGATTTAACCAAGAGACCGAACTGCCTGGCGATTTCTCTGACGGTTTTGGGAAACAATTCTTTGGGTGATGTAGATGAGTCGTAGTTGGACGGTTGTGTATATGGACGATGGAGCGTACCTAATCTTTTGCCAAGTCTCGTTCGCAACATGATCCGCTTTGAGTAGTAGGAACAGGAGAACATCCTCTCTTCTGACCCTTTGCGTTAGCAACTGATCCGTTGAGGATTTGCTGTGGAATTGGATGTATTTCTCAGGATACCCATTGAACATTAGATTCACGTGTAGAAACTCTTCTTCGGCGTTTAGTAGTTCCGGACTGCAAATTCTCCTTGCGCTTTAGAACACGAGGCTGCGTTTGTACGCCACTGGGGTGAAGGTAGGAATTTAAAGGTATTGCTTTCCTCAGGTTGCTTTACGGTAGACAATGCGTTGACGTGTAGCGTCTGCCCGTCTCCTCACAAGCACAAGTCTTGTTGTTCTACCTTGTATGATACGGAGAGGTTGGGGTGAACGTGTTTCCGCATGGTTAACAGACGGTTGAAATGTTCCTTCTTAGTGAAGATTAGAATGTCGCGTACAGTTTTGCTTCGCCAATGGTGGCAGCAATGTTGTAGTCAGTTATACCTAAGAAAAAGATTGTCAATAGTGGGCCCTGAGGATTACTCATGGCGACACCGTCAATGTGCTTGTACGCTGTCCCTATTAATTTGAGGCATAGTTCTCTGCGCAAAGCAGTATCAGTTTTTGTACTCCTGTTTCATATTATCACAAACTTTCTCTACGACAGCTCCCTACTATTGGAGTTGTCTACTAAAGGGCTTTTTCGGTAACTCAATCATTACATCACAATATTTTGCTCCATTTTCATCATACTTCATTTTTTAGATTACAGATATGCTCTTTTAATATATACTGGACCCACCGAACTCTTTTCAATCAATTGATAATCCGATAAATGCAGGCTATGTTTGGGTGCTCATCTCTCCTCTTCAGGCAACTCCAGTGATTTGCGATTGGTCCGCGTTTACCTGCAGTTGGCCCTTCCCGATTGTCAGTTGGAATTCCTCATGTCCGAATGCAACCAGCAAGACACGTTCGCTGGATTCGACACCATGCGGGATAATTTGGTGGATGAAATTATTGCATTTATTGATGATTTAGAGGAACCACCTTTGCGCATCAGCTTCATCGGCCACAGTATGGGATGTGTACTGGTGCGGGCGGCCCTCCTCAGTCCCCGCTTTCATCCGTATGTGTCCAAACTACACACATTCTTATCTCTCAGTGGACCTCATTTGGGCACTGTGTACAACTCCTCCGGTCTCGTCAACATGGGTATGTGGGTTATGCAGAAGTGGAAGAAATCCGAGAGCTTGGCCCAGTTACGTCTGCGCGATTGTCCGGACTTGCGGAACACCTACATGTATCGGCTCAGTGCGAGTGAGGGTCTGGATTTGTTCCGCTATGTCTTGTTGGTGAGCAGTCCACAAGATCGCTACGTTCCGTATCACTCCACCCGTATAGAACTGTGCAAGGCTGCCGTGAGGGACAGTTCTTCTTTGGGTAAGTACGGACGGTGTGTGTGAGTGGTTGATTTGGCTCTGCCCTGGTTTACCGCGGAACCGTTGTGTGTTGTTTTGAACTATCACTTTGAAGGTGGAATTTCTTGACTTGTTGGATGAGTTATCTCCACCCAACTCCTTGCTACTAGACTCCAGTATCCAATTCCATATATATATATATATATATATATATATATATATATATTGCATTAGTGTGCCCCATGCTGAGGCTGATGTCGCATTCATGATGCTTCTTCACCGCAGTTGGGCTAAACCAACTTACACTTAAACTAGGTCTTTTTAAGCTGGATAAATTTCATTCCATTTTATTTCGTTTGTTCTGCGCACTTGATAATCATCTCCCAACTTACACACGTCGCTCATGCAAATTGCGGTAAACTTGCGTTATTTTTATCGCGTGGTATTTTTGAAATAACTTTCGGACATTTTGTACTTATCGCGTATTCACATTTAACACTTTCTTCCATATGCTCATTTAGCGAGTATTTCTGTCGTCATATGCGTTTACTTTATTCGATATCGGTATTTCGAATGATTGGCTGTTGTTTGACATCCCAGGTGTGGCTGCGCTTGATGTGCATGTTGACAAGGTGCCTACCTGTCTATTACCCACTACCTCGTCCATCTGGCTCCAGGAGACAGTTGGTCGTTGCTGGAGGGGACGGGGTGCACGGTCCTTGTGGTCGTGCTAGGCTCGAAGAGTGGTTCCATGCAGTCAGTGTGGAGCGGACTACGGTCCAGCCACCGCCTTGTGTGCGGTTGATTCCCCAAATACAGCGTGCTTGTGTTTGCCTGTGAAGGAGTGTGGGCCGGCTCCGTTTATGAAACGTGGTTCCCATCCGCATGCCTTCCGGTCTTTTTCCTTCGGGTTTACACTGGATATGGGGTGTGTGGTTGGAGCTGTGGGTGGTGCAGCGCAAGCCATCCATGGTCCCTCTGTAGGCGCAAACATCCTGTGGCTGGCCACAGTGACAGGCAAATCCGAAACCGGATGCCGCCAACTATATTGCATTAGTCTAAGGATAGACAAAGTGCCATCAAAAACCATGGAAATAAAAGAAAGGTACAGTTGTCATAAAGAGAAAACCAAACACAACACAGCGAAATCCATGGTTTCCTCAGATGGCGAGATACTACCCGGAAGTAAGGTATTGATTTAGGACACACCACCCCGAGCTTTTGGGTAAATAGCCTACCCGCAAGGGAACGGGGCGAATTCAGTGAATCGCGTCCATTGGGAGCCCGCGATTGATTACTCAGTTCATGCGCCTTTCGTTTGGTCGGTTGACAAAGAGGGGTCCAATCCTCCCCACAATTCGAGCTTTGTGTTGCTGGATGCAATACTCCACCAGAGTGAAGCAAGGGCAGTGAGTTTATTTAGTGGTGAGTCACATCCGCCACGTCGCAGTGTTGTGGCTTTTTATGAGGAAAACGCTTGCCAGACGAAAACCCACGACGTCGTGGAACACTGCCGCCGAACTATTTGCTGGAACCGGATAAACCCGAACCACCCAGCTGGCATCACGAGGAGGTTGTTCGGCAAGCCGGTCTTGGGCATCGAGGTACTACGTGGGACAGACAGATACTGCGTGGAGCATGTAGTATCCGTTCGAAAAATATCCTCTCATCAGTTTCCTTCTTTTTCGTTAGGGGTTTTACTGAAAATACCCCTACCACGGTACAGGCCACATTTGTGCGCAACTTACGTAGAAGTCCCTCGCTTTCTTCTGCTGTGATGGACCAATCGGTAGGAAGTGGGAATGGGATAGTTTCCCTAAATGTATCCACACAACATTTCTGTTGGGCCGCATTTACGTTAGGTAAAGCAACAACTAATAGGGTCATAAAGCAGATGTAAACGGGTTATCCGAAAGTTCTCCTAGCCCACATTATTCGAAGTACCTTTAGATTGAAGACCTCTCCGTCTGTTTTTCACTCGAGGTCGAAATCCATTAGGTGTATGTTCATCATGTTCGGGTGTGCTCTATGCTTGTCCGGAAACCACGAGAACCAGCCGATTGTGGCTTGTGTGCAACAACATTGCATGTTTTTGGCTTGCGTATGTCGAGGTCGGTATCACACACGATGTGGTGTAAGTTGCGCTTCATTGATGTGCACAATTGCTCGAATATTAACTGACCTCTACCGTTTTTCACTGCTTGTTATGTCAAACGTGTCCGCGCCTGATCAGACTTTGATTTGATTTTACGCATGTTTAATATCACCATCTGGTCTCCTGGCTTTTGGAGGCTGCTAAGGATTGTTGGAAAGCCATGGGGTCAGAAAATGATTCAGATGTATAACTGTCCGTTGACTTCGAGCGTACTATATGCTTTCGGAGCGTACTCTGTTTCCATTTTTTCGTGAAAGCACCGATTGGCGTAATTCACTTACTACATCCTATATGATACATATTTTTGCAGGTACATGACGTCGTTCAGCTGTTTGTGACCATTTGTTGTTGAAGAGCTGTTGATATTTTGACTCTGAATGTTTATTTATGTCCCGCTTCTCCCGTTCTTATTACTCCTCATTCTTTAGATGCTTATGGCTGTATAGCAGTGAAACATCAGTTCAAACTACCCATCTATTGCTGTTGATAGAATGCAAAGAAAGGCATCAGCAGTACGCCGGTACGCAGTACCGATGTTTCGCTGTCGCGCAGCCACCATCAGTCGCATGTGGGCTACAGCTACTGTGAGGATCACCTGGTCCCTACGCAGACTCGGAGTACAAAACAGGATTGTGATTCTTAAGGCTACGAGCCGGCGACTGTTGATATTATTGCCTCGCATTCCGCTTAGATAGGCAGCCGACATCTCGGCGCTGTGCTTCACAGTGTTTGGATGTAAAATGGGCTTGAAGTTGATCAACGTCTGGCTAAACGCATTGCATTACATGCCGAGAATATCTCGGATACACTTGACTTCTTATTTTCTTTATTGCCTAGGCTGGGTTCCATGGGATTGTGGGCTGTGAGACTGTTTCATAAAGACTCTGGTATTTGGTGGCCTGCCTACATCCAATTCTTCACGATGCTTCGAAACGGATCTGATGACAATGTACTGCCCATGAAGCCCTATGAAATCATCCTCGTCCCATAACCATGCCTGTCATCCTTAGTCGCCTAAAATCTGAGGGAAGGGGATTATTGTTAGCGCGCTGACTGCCCGCGTTGAAGTGCCGTGGATCCATGCCATTAAATGCTTTTCTCACAACTAAATGTGCGCTTCACCCCAACCAACTTAGTCATGAATCGTTGGGCGCATGCATACCTAGCACACAGCGTGCTTCACCGTATAGGGTTGGTATCCTGAAGCAATCCGACACGATGCATCATTTCGTAGACAAGTTGTTTGATCCACTTCTTGATAAGACGACGGCTGGTAGATACTTGCGTTTCATATCACCTCCTCGGTACCATAAAACATAACCGCTATCCAGTTAGTTACTTATCTGTAGGCGTGACCAAATAAGCTTGAGGCGCAAATCGAATTATGAAAGTTCAGCCCTTAAGTCAACGACACCCTAAGATTGACAAATATTTGTTTTTGAACGCATAGGGCTGATTTCATTCGGCTTCTCTCGACAACTTCGATGAAACGAAAGAACGAAGATTAGAGTGCAGCAACACAGTGTTGAACACTGAGACCATCCCTATCTGGTGACTCGTGACTGGGTGTTTGCCCATCGATTGAGGACGACAGGAATGCTGGACACTTTCGCGCTGAGCCCACTTTAGTACCTTTTCCTTTATTCTGGAACTCAGATTCCCATAGGTTCTGTCCACCCAATTGGCTGAACACTGACGAAGTGGTATTTGCAGTGTGAGTTCGGCTTAACTGATTCAAATGTACAAATTTCAAGCTCGGTCACTGACCAGCATGAGCATTATTGCAACCTCTCTGCGTAGCGGGGGGCTATACTTTTTGTTGGCCTCAGCTTCTTCAACAGGTGAACACTCACAAGTCACTCGTCTCCGTATCCAGCATTGTGTTGCTTCATGTTAATCCCCGTTTCCTTCGCTTCAGCGAAGCTGTCTCCATAATCCGGAGGAACTCAGCCCTATGTGCTCAAAAACAATCTTTTTGATCAGCCTTAAGCTGCCATTGGATACAAGGGCTGAACTTCTGTCATTCAATTTGCATCTCCAGCTTGTTTTATCACATCACAATTGGACATATAGTTGTTCTATCCTTGCTCATATTCTAATGTTTCGTGAAGCACCGTTTCCAGCCCCTGCAAGGGTAATCCAGTATATGTGATGCCATCATTCTTTCTTTATCGTTTCTCTCCTAATTGTGTGCCATTTCACCACTCCGTCAGGCATCGTTTACATGGAAATGGTCACCAACTTATTGCAACGTCTGATCAAGTCTCCGCGCACTACAGTCGTGCGGTACGACATTCACTACTACCAAGGAACATCAGCCAACAATCTCATCGGTCGTGCCGCTCACATCGCTGTGCTAGACTCGGAAACATTCCTGGAGAAATTTATCTGTGTATCTGCAGCCAAGTATTTTCGCTAGACCTGTGAACTAAAAGCAAGCATTTTCCCGATCCTGCGTGGCCTGCATCCGGTGTATGTGCTGCGTGGATTGTGCAAAGCATTGTCACAGTGAGTCAGTCTTTCGCTTGTCATCTATGTCCTCTTGTGTGTTCCCATAACCGGGACCGAGCTTGACATTTCCATCCCATGCGTCACCACATCTTTCTTGTTTAACTTTGTTGAGCTCGGGCTGGTGCGAACAGATAGAGTTTAATTCTGGTCTTATTTTCAAGTAAGCCTATCTTTAAGACACGTTTGGAACCTACCTTCTCATTAGAACGCTTAATATTTTATTGCTGTCGCATATTTATTCCACTTGGTATGTCAGAATGACGCTAGCACTTCTTAGTAACCGAAATGGATACTTTTCGGTATATTTTTCTTCGCCTAAACATATTTTGTCCTGCTTATGAGTAAAAGCCCCTAATAGAAATCACTAAAGTCTTCTGAGTATAGCTTTCTCTCCCTCGACAGCTTGTGGTATTCAAGGAACTGATTTGGACTTTTGATTTAAAAACGGCTCAGCAACATTCGCTTCGTATCTTCAGGACAGGAAAAGAACATCAAATCACCACCGCATCACTTGTAAATAAGCAAATATTTTATTCTTGAATACTTCGAGACACACCAAATCATGTATGATCAAGACTTTACATGTGATTATTTCGCAACAGACGTTGCTTTCTATGGAATGCGTTATTCGCACAATATTCAGAACTTACCGAAATGGCGGATGCACTAGTCAGGAACGGGTTCAAGAATGTGTAAAAGCGTAACATATAGAGTGGTGACGGAAGGTGGAAACAGCGAAGTGTCTTTTTACTGTGCGTATCCAAAAAGTCTTCATATGGTGTGAAAGGTCCTTCTGCTGTACTTACCCCTGAGAGTTTGTGGGCTTACTTGTGAACACAGTAATGTGATCCACATAGGACTTTACAGTTCCTAAAATATCATCCTAACGTCTAATGCGATTACTTCAACTTACATCCCGGTTGTCGCGATTTTCTCCCACTCCCATTGATCCAATTGGCGTACTCCGCAAACCGTAACTAACCGGCTCCCAATGCGTTCGCGTCGCGTTCCGCACCACATATCTGACCTTATTTGCTACTGCGTTCTCGTATCGTGTTTTGGCTTGTGGTCTATAGACATGCATCGCGTAGCTCTTTGTACCAGATATATGAACTAAAATTTTATTAGATTGCTTTATCTGGACAGCAATGTATTCAGTGGATGCGCGCTCCACTAACATCTTGCCAGATTGACCTCAGCGTTTTGTGGTTCTCCTAGCTCTCTGGGCAAAAGACGATATCCCTTATAATCTTCTTTCTTCTCATTTTCAGTTGTCCAATAGATGTTTGTTTTCGTTGAATCTGTCCTTCACGACGTCCTACAGAACCAGCAACACAGCCTGTTTGTATACCAGTGTTTGTACATACGCTTACTGCTTCTTTTCAATCTGTGTATTCCATCCAACATTATTTCTATTTCGCAGCATACACACATGCCGCGTGATACATCGTCTATTTTGTTGTTTCTTGGGATTGGCCGCAGCGGTCTGCCCACAGGTCCCCTTTTCATGTTTATTTTCTGACCAAAGCGATGTCCTTTCTCCTGATTTGCTACTCCTGCCTCTTCTTCTTCATCATACTTTTTTTTTCCCAGATGGACGACTTGTGTATTTTTCTGAGTATTTGCAACTTCTTATCAGTTATTGGTCTCCTAATCGCACTTCTGTTGCTCTTTCTAGCTTCCTTCGAGCCGTTGCTTTTGTAAATGCAGTGTCCACACTCACGGCGATCCGAATTTAAACACCATTTCCAATTCAACGGTTTTGTGGGAGTGGCTTAAATACACCTCCGTGATACGTTATTGGCATGCTTGTCTTACAACTGCCTACTCACATGAGAGGCACATCTCGCCTAGTTGTATTATAAAGCCCAAGTGGATGTTCGATTATGTCACCTTGAGTCCGTCACGTAAATCTTGTTGGAATTCGCCGACCTATGTTTGTGCTACTTGAAAGATCGCAGAATTGTAGAGAATTCATCTGTTTGGTACACCAAATAATCGCGAACTAGAACGAGAAGGTGGACAAGATAACTCATGCTACATTGGCCTTTCGTTTCACTTCCGCGCCATCTCAACAAATTTTTCAACTGGATGATATACCTGGTGAACTGGTTCCCATCCTCGACCACGATTGCTCTTTGTTGTTTCCGCTGATACAGCTGTTTGAATCACGGGCAAACTCCTTGCTTTATCAGGAGACAGAAATGACTTATAGGAAGGTCTAGTGCTACCAAAAACTTCTAGATGCCAGCAATGGCTACCATTTTCTCCTGGCTAATGAATCCCAAGCTGGGTTAGTCTAAGCTTCTGTGGAGGCTAACAGCATAGAAACGGGTTTGAACGCCTCCTGCGAATGTACCCCCTTAACGGTTCCACTACACGAAAACGACGCATTATCTTCCGTACGTGCAGGGCCATGACAGCGGTCATTGAATCATTTCCGATTACTTGCTGCAGAACTATAAGATATCCTTTCTACAAGAATCCCCTGCTTTCCGAGTACCCGTCAATGTCCGAACTCAGTTTCAATGTGTGCGTTTTGCTAACGGCCACCGCGCACATGATAAACTGATGTGTTCATTCTGGCTACCAAGTAGAGATCACTATAAATCATTGGGAATGATGAAATTCCATCGGCTCATTGTCACGAATGCTTCTAAGAATCAAAGTGAAGTCTAGGCAACAAACAAAATCTAAAACATTGTTTATAATTCACATTAGTAGGGGTGCTTTACACTAGTTATTTTCCATTTTTTGCGTCTTCAACGGTCTGTCTGTGTGTACTGGTCGTCACGTTCTGTTCGCTTCAGTCAACTTTTACCCCGTCTGCGCTGTCCACCTTGAGTCATGCTTTGGCGCGCCAGCTCTCCTGTTTGTATGGCCAACGCAGACGCTTCAACTGCTCGCGACTCTTCCAGCCATTCGGCTTCGCCGTTGTTCATAACAAAGTTGTACGTTGTTCCTTTTAAATTGGGCCCATTCGGATTCCTTCCTCTGGCTCGTCCACGCTTGATCAGTTTGCGTCGACAGCGACTGATTAGCATCCTGTCTGCCTACAACCTGTTAGTTTGGCTCGCTCAAGCGACTAGCTAATGCTACACTTATTCCTAAATGAACTGTATAAAATTATTTGTTTAACTGAAGTTGGTCTGCAGTCGCAAAGCATGGTGCTGCACTTAACGTTTGAAGGCGGGATTTTGCTGTTGGCGAAGTTAACCTTTCCCGATTGTGTAATCCATTAGCTAACGCGGATAGCACTCGGGAATAGCGGCGATATGTATCTCTTCCTAGAATACCGAAAGGGGACATATACTACCTACCACGACACATTCACTTTCGGGATCACCACCCGTCGGTTCGAAAGAGTGGACAGAGCATGCACGCACCCCACACATTACCTGGCCCGGCACTACATGGAATCATCACCATCCTTACCTATACACGTTAGTTGAAGGTAATAAGCATACTTCATCTAATGTGCCGCGACACAAAACACTACCTAATACAAAATAGAACCAAAAACGTAATATAATGCTTAGTGTTATAGTAGGCATCAAGTGTGGAAACTTGGTTGGAGGAGGAAACTATGGGGGATTGAAAGGGGCAAAATTTCGCAACTCGTATGTTACCAAGGCTGGCTCTTCGCTATGTCAACTAGTGTATCCAACCCAATGTGTTCATCTTTCTTCAGATCTCAGTTTCGTAGTCGCGAGACACCAACCGACGTCAACTTCTATGTGAGGATTATCGTTCCTCTTGACCAAGTGGTCCCTTGGCCTCCGGTCCTCGATCAACACCCAGGTCGCACAAATAACTTATGACGCTAGAGTCGGTGGGCTAGCGTGCCCAACACGTGGTCCTGCCATCGGAGAATGGTGCGCGAAATAACGGTGCTGAGCAACTCACTCGCTCTTCCTGCACCAAGAACACGACGCCGAACACGCTCATTACGCAAGCGGTGTTTCCACTAATTATGAGCTTAGCTGCGAAGGTAGCGATTATCGAACGTAACTTACCTTTTTATGTCGACTGATTTAATGGGCCAGGTTTCACAACCGTACAGGAGGATGGAACTTACGGCTGCGTTATAAACTCTGCTCTTCAGAGCGAGAGTGATGTCGCGCCGGCGCCACAGGTGACGGAGATTGGCAAAAGCGCATCGAACTTGCTATACACTTCGTGATCTGATCTTCGATCCCAAATTCGCTGAAATAGCTGCCAAGACACTTGAATTCTTCGACGACTTCTAGCCGGTCGCCACCAAAAGTTAGCGCAGTAGTAGATCCTTGGCAATCTTGTGGAAGCACTTTAAATTTCGTGGGTTCAGTTCTGTTGTAACGCTTCTTGGCTACATCGTATGTATTACGGATTGGCACGAACTCTCCCGGTGCGATGAACGAACGTGAGACAGAATAGTATCCCCCATCGAGGTAGCTGACAGAATTCAATTTCTATAAGGCTTTCATCCCATAAATCAATTTTGCTAAACCTGGGAGACTTGGACATAATTGAAAGTTTTCCTAGACTGAACACAGACTTGACTTGTGACTCCGATCCAGTGAGATGGGGACAAAAGACAGAACCTTTGCTCCAGGCACTTTACTCGCCAGATCAAGCAATCACAGTGTGTCCAGCATTGTTTAAATACAGCGATTGGTGGAAAAAAGAGTGGTGAGCAGGCCTCATTAGGAAAATTGAGCCACGGAACGGGAAAATGCATGTCGACAATTGGAAGTGAGCGAAGTGGAAATATGTGAAATGGTCAATACCGGAACGTGATCTGACTAAATGTCGATAATTGATGGGGCTTGGCGTGTGGGGCTGATAGGTCTGATTGGTTGTCAATACTTGATGGGGCTTGGCCGGAAATGTTTTTTGCGTGTGTGGCTGGCTGATCGAAACATGATTCTGCCTTAGTTCTTATGGGGACGTTCCATTCATCATAACATCACACCCTCCAGGTTTGGACATACCATTTTGGTGCAGGTTAATCTGCAGCCTTTCGGTTCTTCGACGGATGAATTCCGATCGGCAGTGAGGACCAGTGGGATTTAACGTTGGTTGCACAACTTCCACAAGTGCCGGATTCTTAGCGTATCCAATATTATGTGCAGCGGTAGTTGCATAGCCAACTCGGACTGCTCGTAAAGCGTTCCGCCTTGCGGGCGAACTTGGTTTTGTTGGCGAATCCATGTGTCGTTTTCCACAGCGATATCATGTGGCCTACTATCACGATGGCCCGTTTCTGTGGCTTCCATCCAATCTGGGTGACCAGCCCGGTAGTCACGAGCTAAGACAGGAGCTTCAACAGCGAATTCATTGCGACTGGTGGGTTTTTTTTATTTTCATTGGTGATTTTGCTTGGGATCGGCGTCTCATGTTTGTTTGGCGCAGCTTCTTTCCCATCAGTGCTTCGGTGGTTGATTGTCCTCCTGGAGCTGCTAGATTCGGTGTGGTTCTGTAGGCGAACAGGAAAGCTTTGATAATTGTTTCCGCTGTCTTCTCCGCACGAGCTTTCATGAGTGCTCTCTTGAATGTCGATGAAACGTTCTGCTCTGCCGTTCGATTGAGGATGGTAGGCCGGTGCTCGGATGTCTTGGATGAAGTGACAGCGACAGATCTCTTTAAATTGAGATGATATGAACTGCGACCCGTTGTCGGACATTAAGACATCAGGGAGTCTGTGTTAGCTGAAAATTCATTAGAGGTCCATAATCGTTCCCGTTGTGGTCGGGGGGTCAATAGCCACGACTTCAAGCTACTTGGAATAGGCATCAATCAGGACCAGATAGGAAATGTCACTAACTGGCCCGAGATAGTCTAAGTGTACGCGCGACTATGGTTTTTCCGTTGAGTGCCAGCGGACGGGTCGGTGTTCTACCATCTTGGCTACTTGTTTACATCAGGAGCAACGGTAAACCACATCTTTATTGTCTGTCGATCCCGGGCCAATAGAGTAAACTGCGAGCGATTGCCTTCATTGTGCTGATACCATGGTGTGCAGAATGTGACTGACGGAGCAGCGTTAGTCGGAGACAGGCAGGGACGACGGCTCGATCGGCAGTCATAAGACCGCAGTCAACTACAAAATGGGAGTTCCTACGCTGAAATGGGTGCTTGACTTCTCCAGCTAGGGCATTGTTTGTCCAGCCTGTCTGAACATAAGCCATCACCATTGTCATGACACACGTTTGCTAAAGGTGGAAAACACCTCAGCTACTGTTCCGCAACACATAAGCAAAAATAAAAGCACGTACAACATATGCAAACCAACTGAGTTACTAGTAACGGATGGGCGTCATTCCGGAAACCTAACAGCCGGTTACCTTTTAGCAACAGTAATATAATTTGCAATATTTATATTACCCTAAGAAATGAGATCACAGTTGGAGAGGAAGACCAATCGGGATAGGGATGGACAAAGAAACTCATAACACAAACGACATTGACGTCGGCTCCTAGGCATGTCAGCAAGTGTATCCAGCCAAAGGTGTTCCTCGTCCTTCGGATCATAACCACGGAGCCGGGAGGCCCCAACCGAGGCCAACTTCGAAAAAGGACCTTCATTTATCTTGACCAAGTCATTGCTTGGCCTCCCCTCCGTTTCTTCTATCCGTACCCCCGACGCTCAAGTAACACACGTCGCGGGAGTAGGTGGGCTGGCATGCGCACGACGTGGCCCAGACATCGGAGCCTGGAGAGTGAAATAACCGTGCTGAGCCGTTCGCTTGTTCTTCTGTGCCATAAACAAGACGTCGAATACGCTCATTGCTCACACGGTGTTCCCACCAGATGTGATCCAAA